AAAACGTCGAATCATTATTACCTAGTCTGAAGCACCTTTCATGTTCAGCATGACGTTTCGAGAAATTTCGACCACACTGTCCCACAAAAACACTATTAGTCTCCGGACGCTTGAGCAACGCAGACACAATCCAGAAGTTAGTCAGAAAACAAAGCCTCAAATTGACTTACAGATCAATACATCCTCAGATCAAACAATCACAACTCAAGAATTTTGTAACACTCAAACATATTTTGGTAATAGAACAGAGACAACTGCGGGTTTTTTCAGAAAAAACAATGTGAAAGTGGCATTCAGGCCGTATGCCAGGTTAACTGATTTTTTTTTAATGCCAAAAACTAAGTGGACAAGATAGAGAAATCTGGAGTTTATAAGCTTAAGTGTCCGGAGTGTAATAGTATTTATGTGAGACAGTGTGGTCGAAATTTCTCAAAGCGGTATGCTGAACATGGAAGGTCCTTCAGACTAGATAAAAATGATTCGACATTTTCAAACCAATCCTTGGACGGCAACCACAAATTTCCCAAACTAAACGATACGGAAATTTTGCACTATGCAAGCAAGGATTGGAAACTCAATTATTTGAAATCCTTGGAAATTCATGAGCATAAGCATTGCGGATGTAATCTGCTGAATGATCGAATCGATCTAGTATTTAATCTCCGGCGATTCAAATCCAATGTGAATCACTACTTTCGCACAGTCACCACTCTCAGTTCTAGCGTCCTGTCCTCAAGAAAATTATGACCACTTTTCAAATCAGCGTATCCACATTGTCACAGGTACACAAATTTCAGATACCAGGTGCTGAATTAAGTCAAGGACCTCTATTATTATCTACAGTAGATAGATGAGATTCATTTTCAGTTTACTGTGATTGTTCGAAAATGTCCTTCTAGGACGAAACTGCAGTAACATCAGTTTGAAATAAAAGTGATGAAAAACAAAGAAAGTTTTATTTCTCCTTTTTCATGATGATCTTCTACCACGTAGTAGCGACTACATCCATCAATGTATGTCATTGATTAATTTATATTATTCTCTGTAGAAATCGCCCCACGGATTCTGTATGATAATGACAATACTTTTTTTTATGAATGCCATTTAACTGTATCGAAAATATACCGACACTAAAAATTTGAAAACGGTGTGTTTTAATCCTCACTTGCATCCAATAACATGCATTTGTTAATGAATCGTGAATAAAGAATTGGTACTAATTTGGAAAGTGAAACAACTACTCTAGTTAGTTTTACTTCCTATCATCCCACCCGTGTTATAAATCACACGTTGAAAGGTAAGACCTTGGTAGTCCTTAGCTCGCACAAGTTCGATTTTTGAGAATTTTTCGTTCGTAGGGGGCGATAGCTGGTTATAGTCTGATCGACAAGTTCAAAAACATGAAAAATAGAGATAAAGGTCCTAAAAATATGAGCGATAGCTCATACGATTCGGAATCACCTCTAGAAAAATGTTTTTGAAGGATTTTGGTGCAGGTAAAACATTGCAATTGTTATTAACAAAATAAGATTGAAAAAAATGGTATTTAATTTTTCGTTAATGACTCAAAAAATATTAATATTCAAGCAATTCTGAAAAACACTTGTTAAAGAGGCGGAAATTTCCGATACAAAAGTCCCGACTCCTGAAACTCTATCTCCATTATTTATAATTTTAATTTGACTTTGAAAATAGGGTTCCGCGCGGCTGTTACGGCATATGGACGTATCATTTTTCTTCGAAATCATCGAAGTTGATTCCCATACCCACGCCACCAATGAAGTTGATTTGTATTTTTAATATGAACTTTCATCTACTGTCACAGCTTATCAAATATCACTCAAATATTCCAAAAGGTTTTGGAAATACCAGATAATCTCAATTGTTTTCTTGAAACATCAACACGTTGTATTTTCGTAACGGAACATTTTTGGGCTATAGTTTATATAACAACTTATTATTTCATGAAAATTCACAGCCTCGTGAGATTCTTTGGTCACTCTTTCTGTTTCATTTCACTCCATTGTATAATAACCAGTTGGTTTTAAAATACTCTCCGCTACTCCGATCTTGCTAACTGTCTTCTCTTTTTATATTAACAATGTGTATTTGATCAAAAAATGTAAACTTTCACGGTTGAAGATAACTGTGTGGAAGCTATTTTCCGGGTTTTTTGCCGTGGTCTTCAGGTTTCAAAAACAGAGATAATTTCAATAGAAAAGGTGAGGCAATGAACATTAAAAGATCTGGCTACCTGTTCTTAGTGGTAAAAAAACATGGTCAGGTAATCCAATTCAGAGAAACTAATCTACGCTCACTAATTATAATATAAAACCAAAGTCAAATATCAGCATCATAGTCACAGCGTTCGGAAAAACGGAAACAACTCGAGCACCAACTCAGGCATTGCCACCGTTACCACATCGCCTTCAATAATGTCTACCGCTATAGTAGACGAAACGTTATTTTCCACAAAAACAAGGTATACCATAGATACGGGTTTTGTTCACGTAAGAAGAAATATCAAATCGGTAGGATTAGAAGTTGGTTCGACTGATTAGTTATCAGTTATATGTGCTGTTGTTAGGCTTATGATGATTGTATGATATGTATATGTGGGTGACTGCTTATTACCAATTGATATCATTGAGCGGTTTCTCAACAAACTAATCGCATTTTCAGGAGGGTGTTCCATCCATAGTTCCCCTCAATTTCCGACTTCAGCCCATTCGACCTGAGAAAAGCAAAGGCCAGGCTCTTCGTTAAGTCAAAGTCTTCGAAGTTGTTGAAGAAACTCCCATGTTTTGACTTATTCTTGTGTTGCCGCAGGAGTGAAGTGATCTCTGCGACTTTTAAATGTGCCTTTTGCTGAATGGATTCCAACTCTGTGACAGAGTTGTGCCCACCTCGTTCAGTGTCAAAAACTGAACTGACTTCACTGGCTGCTTGAGCAGTTACCCTAAAGAGGAATGCTCCAATTCCTGATGACTTAACATGTTCCATCCAGTGCCATGCTTTCATTTAGACACTCCAAAGTTCACAACCTCCCTGTTATCGAGGGAAGTGAAACCGTGAAAGGGACGATTTGGGATGCAAACTCCTATGGAAATGCACCATTTCTCGGGGCTTTACGTCGAGTTGATACAGTTCTTGCCAAGACTTCACTACTCCAAACGAGTAGAGTAAGATTGGAACGGTTGCAGCAACTTTGTTCTTCTCCGACAGTTCCGATGAGCAGATCTGTCGAAGTTTGTGCTGATACTTGCCGCGAGGAAAGTTCTTTCTGCTGTTACCTCTTGTGAGTGGCGTTGTTTCACCCCGAGGTAAAGATAGACGCATGCTATCATACCGATAGCATGCGTGTACTCTTCCACCATCCTTTTTTCCATATTATAATCATCAAGTTCATCAAATTGAATTCAAAGTTTTGATTGAGAGAAGTTCGTTCTTCGATTATTTGATAGTTGGGCGATTTCTGATTCTCAAATTGCGTTTCAATTTTTCAGTCATATTCAATCTCATCATCATGGTCTGATGTTTCAAAAAGCCAGTTTTTCCTGTGTCTATACCACAAGTCTACGTTTTTGCGATTACATGAAACGGCATTGTTTAACTTTGTTTTCATAGTAGAAATTAAATATTTGACTTGGGTAATCCAAACTCTTTTGAAAATCGTCTCGTAGAATGTCTAATTTTTGCTTCATTTCATTTGCTTCGCGATTATGTACAAATATATCTTGGTTTTCAACGAACTCTAGCAGGTGTTTAACGAACTCTAGCAGGTTTTCGCGAATTTATTTTTTTTTATTGATGTTGTATTCAGTCTTTTTGACAACGTTCCTAAAATGTTTTGTGCAGGTTTGATGAGTTATTTTCAAGAACTAATACTTCTACTATTTATTTTATGGGTGGTGTAATAGCATAAAAATGAATATAATGGAGTTTAAAAAAATTCTAAAAGAGTTCTGATTTGAATTTATTTCTTCCATCACAGGTAATAGAACTCTGCGCAGCAAAATGAATAATTAAAAGATAGTACATTTACGGTATTGACACCATTTGAAATGTATAGCTGTTGAAAAACATTTGAAAAACGAATCAGAAATTTTCAGAAAATTTGTCACTATGATCTGAAAAACATCAATACATATCATTTAGATGTGTCTGGTGGTTAGGGTAGAATAATATTTTATTTTCAGGAGGTAATTATCATATTTAGCTTGTTGAAAAATGTCACAAAAATGTTTATACTGCACGATGTCCGCTTTCATGTTTTCATAATATTTATTTGTTAGTGCGAGAAAAGTTTCGTTCACACCGCGTTGACAAGATTTGCTTGATATTATCTATGGCTATTAGGTCTGAAACATATTTTTTCAAAATAACTGGATGTTTGAAGTAGTTTTTTAAGTATTGTGGAGTGTTCTCGCAAGATTTGGAATAAAATTTCCTATCGATTATTTGATATAGATACAGAATAATTTTTTCAGATAAATTGTTTTTTTGCAGGTGTTGATGATTTAAACATTCTCATGGCATACATTGGTTCTGAATATATAAAATGCTACAGAATCGGCATTCCGAACGATTATTTGATTTATATACAAATTTGTAAAATTTTCAGTATATTTCATAAACAGGATTCTCTGCATGAGAATAGACTGTTTCATCACTACTGGACTCTTCTTCGTCGGGTTGGTTAACGTTAAAATGTTCCAGGGTTTCTTTTCTTTTCAATTCAAGGGTTTAGCCCCCTCGTGATTCTCCAGGTCTCTCAGGGAGTTGATCGCTAGTAATGTTTATCAATTTTCAATTACCTGATCAAAATACCAATATCGTTTTCAATTATGTTGTTTTCGATAACATTTATTTCAACAATCGAAAGGGTGACGTCATTTGTGTTCTGTTTGACAGTTCCGTAATGAATGGCATGATAATATTCTTCTAGCTTCAGTCTCCAGAGATCCAATAATAGGTTGTGAGTACATGAAACTCTTAGAAATCAATGGATACTTTAATTGCTTTGAATCACACTTGATACTTCCTCATAACGCTTATAGAAATGATTACTGTGGTTAAACATATACAAACGGGATATACTGCTTTCGGTCCGAAAGCTTCAACAATTGTCCCAGAAATTATAGGGTTCGAAAGCTCTATCAGAGAACGAATGCTGTCGAAAGAACCCATAACTGTTCCCTTCTCATTTTCGTCGACTTTAAACAATAACAATTTCATAATAGCAGGATCCAAAAGAGATTTCGAAATACTACAGACCACAAAAAAGATTATAAAAAGAGTGAAACTGGAACTGAAATTTATACCAAGATACCCTAAAATAAGTAAAGAAGATCCATGTATCAGTTTAGAATAACCTTTGTCATCTGAATAAAAAATGGCATTGACTTTCATTTGGAGAATATTCGTCACAATTCCGCATACACAAAGAAAAGATATGACGAATCCTATTTGTCTTCCTCCCATACCAAAAACAAAACTCATCAAATAGATTAGGTTCACGTTGATCATTCCATACATTGCCTCAAGGCATGCTTTGATAGCAAATACATCCCAGTATCTTTCTGATATAATCACATTTTTCAATGTTGTTATAGTAGATTTGATATTTGCTAACGCACTGCCGGTATGCTTTCGTTCATCTTTTTTCTTCAAGCGTCTTTTATTTGGAAGTTGACCCACCAAGCCTGAAACATTGACACGGTAAGCGATAGTAGCGATATACAGATAAGCTTTCAATAGGTCATTCGATACTGAAACTTTAAAAACTCGTAAAGCACTACAACTCCAGTTTACAGTCTGGAAACTGAAAAAACACGCTTCAATAGCAACACAAACTAAAAAATAAAAAATAGTTCGAAACTAATTCAAGATTGTGTTCAATATCGATAATGAGTCCTATAGCTTAATGTAACTAATTACTTTTACTGAATCAGTATGAATTCGTTCACAAAAAATATAATTTTGTTGTTAAAAATCGTGTGGTTTTGAATATCCATTGTTTAAATACTTGGTTAGGGGTTGTTTTTCAGATTGGCACTATTGCACGGAAAAAAAAGATTTGTTACTTCAAAGAAATTTATTTAGTCTAATTTATTTCATCACTTTGATTAAATATCATTCATTCCAAACGTGTGTATTGTATCGATTAGATGATAATTTTGCGGAGACGAAATGAAATTCTCATTTTAATGTCTCTAATATTTCAATTCAAGAGGTCTTTTACTTAGTCAAATGAATTGTGGATCATTTCAAAAATAACATTTATTGAGTTCTCAAAATAATTCGGTTGAGTCAAACAATATAATTTCATCAAATCAAAAGTACGTCTGTTGAATGAAAACTTTCCAATTCAGTTTAACACTATGGGGTGCTGTTTTGACACTAATATATAATTGAATAAACTGAATATTTATTTTCACTTCAACAATACATATCAATACCTTCAACTAATTTTGGAAATAATTTCAAGATTATGGATAATTTCATTTCAATATTTTTATTATTTGTTGGTTTGAAAAATTGAATTGTTTCCTTTAAAGAAATGATATAGTTGAAATACTTCTAAGTAATAGAGTTGGAGATGATTTACTTTCATAATATACTTATAATATAATTTTCAATAAAAATCTAAATCAGCCTGAATGAGCCCATTCACAAGAAATCTATATTCAACTGCTTTTCGCCGCATTCAGTTATCTTGCTTGGTCCCAGAGTTGTTTTATTTGAACAATACAGACATCTTTTGGTGGAATTTTCAGCAAGGGTTTGATTGATTGAAACGTCTGCATATTGTGGAATATTTAAGCAAGCTCTTTTGTACTGGTAAAGTAAATAAACTGTTATGCCGTAAAAGGAAAAAAACTCTAAAATCAAAATAAACTTATGTACTTATACTGCCACTGGTCCCAAATATTTTTGCATTTGAAACTTATTAATGGCGGAACTTTGTCTCCAGCATCAGAAGCAGCCATTAACACAGATACAAATGAATTTTCTCTGCCAGAAGCGCTTGTAGTTCGAGTGCATAGCAAGTTTTTTCCTCCAACTACTTCAGTTTTGGACGGATCCGTGCAAAAACTGATTTCGTCCAGGTTCCAGATTCTACTAGTTTCGTTTTCTAACCATAACTCCTTGTTATGTGAAATGTGAAATATGTGTCAATTATGAATGGATTACTATTTCTTTTGCGGACTACCTACACGCTTTGTGGCTTTTTTATCGACAAATTATTTTCTTTGGCGAACCCGAAAAACCAATCTTCACCGGGGGTTCCGTCCTTGAAAAGAGTTTTAATCTTATTTGACTGAATGAACTGCCCAACAAGCTAGACGAACAAAATCCATATTTCTCCATCTTCATGGATTGGAATAACGATGCTTCTGCCAAAGGATTTTGATTTGACCACACGTCTTCCCTTTATATGGTGTGTTATTGTGTTCAATGGTATACCACATTGCTTGCTAGCTTTATAAGCAATAATACGTCCGCCTTTATTCTCCCTAAAAGCTTCTTCTAGCGATTCTCTCGAATAATCACCCCTGTTAGTTTTTCTAACATAATTGCGGACCAAGGCAAACCTAGAATAAAAACATTAATAAATCACATAAAATCAAATTAAAGTTATTCATCAAAATTTCAATGGTCATTCAAATAAATTAATAAGTAAGTGTTGAAACCAGAATGAATTCAACAAGAAACGAAGCTAGGGCAAGAGCAGACCGAAATGCAGTATCCCCGCCTCTTTGGTCTGCACAATCCCCAGGTGGTGATATCAACGGGACAAGAGTACAGTAACGATTTTTAAGTATACTTATGGAAAACTCTAAATATTTCCATGTCTAAAATAGAATTTGAACTATATTCTCATGTACTTACCAAAATTTACATCCTTCCACATCATATTGTCCAATTAATAAAATAACTGAAACAGCACGCATAACTTGATTGTTTACCACAAACTGACACCTGTTTTTGTCGGTTGGTTCACAGGCGGGTTCTTCATATTTCACTGCGCTATCTATATTTAGGAGGTAACAGCAACCGCTTCTCTATTTATTCATGTGAATAACTGTAATTTGATTCATATAAAAATAAATATAGCCGATATTCCATTTGCGTACAGGTATAACTTACTAGTACGTATTTGATGTGAGTTTAATAAATTTATGAAATACAAATTTTTTCATTTTCAGATACCGGCATTATTGCCTTTGGAATGATTAGCTTCCCCCTTTTATTGTCATGTCACGTCATCTTACGGTAACAGTGGGATTGAAACAATCACCTATGATGATTTACTATCAGTTGGAACATAATCTTCGAGCGGAATTCATGGTAGAGACATCCATATTGTGTTTCTATGAAGATAGGAGATATAGTAGAATTGTAAAGTTTACTTTTCCATCCCACGTATTATTCATTATGAAAAAGGAGAAAAATGTGTTTTACTCCTTTTTTTATAACTAATGTTACTGCAGTTACATGATATTTATAAATGTTTTCAAATGATTACAATAAACTGAAAATAAATCATACTGTTAGCTCTTATAAATCTACTGTAGGTAATAATAGAGGTCCTTAACTGAAATTTGTTTAGCTGTGACAATGTGAATACGCTAATTTGAAAACCGCTGAGTAAACTAGATCGATTTGAGCATTCAGCAGATTACATCCGCAATGCTTATGCTATTGAATTTCCAAGGATTCCAAATAATTGAGTTTCCATTTCATGCTTGCATAGTACAAAATTTCCGTATCATTTGAAATCGGAAACGTGTGGTTTCATTCCAAGAAATGATTTGAAAACGTCGAATCATCATTACCTAGTCTGAAGGACCTTTCATGTTCAGCATAACGTTTTGATAAATTTTGACCACACTGTCCCACAAAAACAGTATTACACTCCGGACACTTAAGCAACGCAGACACAATCCAGAGGTTAGTCAGAAAACAAAGCCTCAAATTGACTTACAGATCATTATACCCTCAGATCAAACAATCACAACTCAAGAATTTTGTAACATTCAAATATATTTTGGTAATAGAACAGAGACAATTGCGGGTTTTTTCAGAAAAAGCATTCAGGCCGCATGCCAGATTATCTAATTTTTTTTAATGCCAAAGACTAAGTGGACAAGTTGGAGAAATCTGGAGTTTATAAGCTTAAGTGTCCGGAGTGTAATAGTATTTATGTGGGACAGTGTGGTCGAAATTTCTCAAAACGGTATGCTGAACATGGAAGGTCATCCAGACTAGATAAAAATGATTCGACATTTTCAAACCATTCCTTGGACGGCAACCACAAATTCCCAAAACTAAACGATACGGAAATTTTGCACTATGCAAGCAACTGTTGGAAACTCAATTATTTGAAATCCTTCGAAATTCATTAGCATAAGCATTGCGGATGTAATCTGCTGAATGATCGAATCGATCTAGTATTAAATCTCCAGCGATTCAAATCCTATGTGAATCGCTACTTTCGCACAGTCACCGCTCTCAAATCGCCTTGAGGATTTTCCTGTAATTCTAGCGTCCTGTCTTCAAGAAAATTATGACCACTTTTCAAATTAGCGTATCCACATTGTCACAGGTAAACAAATTCCAGATACTAGGTGCTGAATTAAGTCAAAGACCTCTATTATTATCTAGAGTATCTAGAGTAGAGATTCATTTTCAGTTTATTGTGATTGTTCGAAAATGTCCTTATAGGACGAAACTGCAGTAACATTAGTTTAAAATAAAAGTGGTGAAAAACAAAGAAAGTTTTTTTTTCATTTTTCATGATGATCTTCTACCACGTAGTAACGGCTACATCCATCAATTTATGTCATTGATTAATTTATATTATTCTCTGTAGAAATAGCCCAACGTATTCTGTATGATAATGACAATACTTTTTTTTATGAATGCCATTTAACTGTATCGAAAATATACCGACACTAAAAATTTGAAAACGGTGTGTTTTAATCCTCACTTGCATCCAATAACATGCATTTGTTAATGAATCGTGAATAAAGAATTGGTACTAATTTGGAAAGTGAAACAACTACTCTAGTTAGTTTTACTTCCTATCATCCCACCCGTGTTATAAATCACACGTTGAAAGGTAAGACCTTGGTAGTCCTTAGCTCGCACAAGTTCGATTTTTGAGAATTTTTCGTTCGTAGGGGGCGATAGCTGGTTATAGTCTGATCGACAAGTTCAAAAACATGAAAAATAGAGATAAAGGTCCTAAAAATATGAGCGATAGCTCATACGATTCGGAATCACCTCTAGAAAAATGTTTTTGAAGGATTTTGGTGCAGGTAAAACATTGCAATTGTTATTAACAAAATAAGATTGAAAAAAATGGTATTTAATTTTTCGTTAATGACTCAAAAAATATTAATATTCAAGCAATTCTGAAAAACACTTGTTAAAGAGGCGGAAATTTCCGATACAAAAGTCCCGACTCCTGAAACTCTATCTCCATTATTTATAATTTTAATTTGACTTTGAAAATAGGGTTCCGCGCGGCTGTTACGGCATGCGCGCGCTGCCGCTAAAGAGAGTTNGAGCTTTTTTCAAAATTGCTTAAATATCAATATTTTTTAAGTTATTAACGAAAAAGTAAACACCATTTTTTTAATATTATTTTGTTAATAACAATTGCAATTTTTACCTGCAGCAAAATCCTCCAAAAA